ACCTGATAAGATCAGCATTCACTTAAAGAATCATAGAATCAGAATTTAAGGGTCAGAATGGACCTTACAGATCATCTAGTCCCAACCCTCACTGCCATGGGCAGGGACACCTCCTCACTAGGTCAGGTAAAAGAAAACAGGTAACAAAATTCTGTAAGCTGAATCAAATAAAATTTTCAGGGAATCTAATAACTATTTTGAGTAAAAAAATGCATTGGATTACTGGAGGAGATTTATAAATATAATCCTTAACATTTTTGTTAATAAAATTAGCATTTACATCTAGTTCTGTTGTATTCATTAGACACAACAGGGCTGTTATAAGCTTTTTGGCTTTCTCACATGAGGTTCAAGAAGTTAAAAGTGTGACTAAAAGCAGAAATTCACACTTGTGGCACTGAATAATGGAAGAGCTGAATTTTGTGAGTTCCTGCATTTGGAAACTAATACTATCAATGTGGATCAGAATAATCTTGATGAAGAACAGTTGCACTTTACCCTTCAATATCAAATTGTATGGGTTGAAATCTCTCCATGTGTATGATCTGTGCACCTAACATTAAAGGGTTTTCTTCCTACACCACAGAACAACACCCAAGAAGAAGGGTTACAGAAAACAGAGGTGGTAACAGAAAATGTCACAACTGTGGCCAAGGACCCAAGATATGCCAGATACCTCAAAATGGTCCAAGTGGTAAGTCAATCCTTGAGGCATTCTTTGACCACTCCCTTGTTTTCATGTGGAGCATCACACACAGCTGCACATGAACATTAAATGTCTGAAAATACTGCAACAGTAATCTTCACACTGAGATAACGTCACAATATTTCCAGCACGTCTTCTCTAATAAATGAGTTAATGCAATATCTTCTTCAGACAGCTTGAGGCAAGGTCTTTCTGCACAATCCTGCTGATCTACTTATGAACTGAAGGTGTGAGATGTGTAAATGCAAAGTACTAATAGCTGAAGTCATGGAAGTTGCCACTGCAAGTGTAGTTATTCTGGCAGAGTTGGAGCCATTCCCTCCATACACACATGGTTACAGCCTGGGTTTGCTGTAGGGTACAACATACAGCTTTGCTAGTATAGTGCAGAACAGGAGTACCTGATACTTCTGAAGGGACCAAAACACCAAGATTGTTTCACCATTTGGTTCCACTTCAGTTCCCTGCTATTCATGATGCAGGTTTTGTTTTCCTCTTTATCTGTGGATAAATAGAAAATAAATTAATGTAATCTCAATATTTACATGTGTGAAAGCTAATGAAGGAATGAAAAGGTGAATTTTTGACATTCCAGAACCATCTGGGCACAGCCCTGAGCCACGTGCTCTGGAATGGCCCTGCCTGAGCAGGGAGGTTGGCCCAAGTGACCTTTTGTGGTCCCTTCCAACCTAACTGTGCTGTGATTCTGTGAATGGGAGACTATTTGGGACATTTTAAATGTTCTTTTTCTCACATCAACAAAATTCAAAATGAGATTGCAAAGAAAATAGCCAGTCTTTATTTTCAATCTGTCAGTGGTAATTTTTATCTAAAATCTATATTCTACTCCTGGAAAGTGTGACTGTGTCAGAGCATTAGTGAAACGTTGCTTATGTTCAGGCTAAACTCACCATTTCACTCACTCCTCAGAGAAATTATTCCAGTTGGTTTGCTTGGGCCTTTGGATAATGGTCCAGAACTTATTTTTCACTTGAATCACAAATTGGCACTTTATGGGTAGCTTATTACAAACCATTTGGAAGACAGAGCAGTGGGATAGTAACAGAGTGGAGAACACTATGTTGGTGTGTTGATTTAGTGCCAGACTTCAGAGTGGATGTGAAAGTGCTGGATGGGCTAATTACTTTGAGGTATTTTTTTTTGGGGTGACTGCTAGAGGGAGGAGTGAGATCTCACTTTCCACATTTATCCTTTGTACTGGCAGTCCTGGTGATTCCTCTGCCAGTTGTAAACAGTGTGGTAGGAAAGTCAAACTAACATACTACAAATTAATGTGTGTTTTTGTGTTTGCCAAACTTGTCTTCTCGTCCGGTCAAGTATTTCAGTTAGTGTCATTTATTTGCCCAAATGAAGTTTGTAGCTGAAGATTTGTTTGCGGTGCTCATTTCTTTATTGCTCACAGTATTTGTAGTATGTGGGTTAGCACCATTCTGCACTAAAGGTAGATCTGTAACATAGTAATGAGGTCCTTTGCACGGAGTGCAGTTGAGCATACGAAATTCTTGCCTTTTAAAATATGTAGTAACATTCAAACAAATCTTACTAAAATGATGCCGTTCTGGTGTCCTCTATGTAAGGACATGGAACTGTTGGAGCAAGTCCAGAGGAGGCCACAGAGTTGCTAAGAGGACTGGAGCATCTCCCCTGTGAGGACAGGCTGAGGGAGTTGGGGCTGTTCAGCATGGGGAAGAGAAGATTGAATGGAGACCCAGAGCACCTTCCAGGATCTGAAGGGGCTCCAGGGAAGCTGCAGAGGGACTCTGTGTTAGGAGCTGCAGAGATAGGACAAGGGGCAATGTGGCCGAGTTGAAGGGGAGAGAATTTCGGTTGGATCTTAGGCAGAAGTTTTCCCTGTGAGGGTGGTGAGACACTGGCACAGGTTGCCCAGGGAGGCTGTGGCTGCCCCAACCCTGGCAGTGTTCAAAGCCAGGTTGGATAAAGCCTTGAGCAACCTGGTCTGGTGGGAGGTGTCCCTGCCCAGGGCAGGGGCTTGAGGCTGGATGATCTTTAAGCTCCATTCTAACCCCTGAAATTGTATGATTCTCCGGGACCTGCACAGTTCCTGAGCTGCAGGGCCAGGGTGGGGGTACCCTGTGTTGGATATATAGTGACTTGGATTATTTCAAGCCTTAACTGGACTGCTGTGTAAATTTAGTATTGGCTTCTATGCTAGAACAGTACTCCTGTGCCATTTCAGGGGACTTGTATGCTCAGTGTGGTTCCTTCAGATGTAAAATGGTCATCTGGTTTATTTTAGTAAGACTTAGGGTACTAGAATCTATTTAAAAACTTGGGAAAGTATGAAAGATAAAGTAATTGTAATGCCCGGGGACAATCTTAATTGCTTTCCTTCAGGAAAAATCTCCACTGTTATGGGGACTTTTTAAGGTAGTTTTGGACCTTTTTTAGGGTATTTAGGGCCTTTTAAAGAGTATTTTGATAAACTTGAGATTAGTTTTGTGAATCTATGATCCACGAGACTACTGAGAGGGTTTTTTCTTGCAGATTTTGATGCATACACTGTTAAAATAAAACACTACTCCAAGTATGAACATAAAATCAATGCATTCTTAGCAATTTGTATACCAAGTTCCCTTTGATTGAAAGCAAATACAAACTCTGTTTTGCCTGATCTGAATCAGCCTCGTTCTTACTTGGTTTGAGTTGATGCATCAGTAACTTCTGAGATGGGAAAAAGCACCCTAAGAGCAGTCAAGCAAGGGAAAAAGCACTAGTGCAAGATGGTGTGTAGGCACACAGTCCCTGGGGCCCAAATCTAGACTAGAATAGGTGAACTTTTAGACTGTCATGGATACTCAAATGCTTTCCCCCGTGGGAAGCACTGACAGGTTCTTTACCTTGCAACTACTTGAGTGCTGGTTTTGCCACTATGCTTGAGAGATTGCTAGAACTGTGCCTGTTTTTGTGCTGCTCCAGAATGTTAATGCACAAGTCCTGATTTACATTGCTACTGTGAAACTAACTGCACGAGGAAAACACAGTGACTAGCTAACCTAGTACTCCCTTTGCCAGGTTAACTACTGGGACTGTCAGTAGTGCCACATGTTTCTATGAAACCTCAGTTGTGGCTGCCCTTTATTTTATCACTATTTTACTTACTTTTGCACAGCAGATACTTGTGCTATGCAGGAAGACTCCTCCACTACTTTTCATTTAGATTGTGAGGCCTCTCCTGACTTTCCTAGACCACCAGTTTTGTCCCTTTGGATTTTTTTCTTCCCCATATCCTATCTTGGCATGAAGTGATCCAGATGGTATTGCTGACGGTTTCCAACAGGAGATGGCAAAGCAACAAGTTGCCTTTGTGCAACTCTGGTGGAAACATAGGAACAGTTTGTTGGAATGTGTCTCCTAAGATGCCATGGGCCTTGGGGATATGGTCCAAGATGAGGGGATGTTTGGGTGTTGCTGAATGAAATAAAGTGCAGAAGCTGTGGAAGGACTTGCAGTGCAAGGAAGGAATTTTTTAACACGTACGCAGTTGGCTGAAATCTGTACACAAGTCAGAGAAGCTTCAAGCCTGACTGCACAAGCACTTGTGTTCAGAGAAGTCACTTTTAAACTGTGCTTCTGTTCTCACGTCCTGTTTGCCTTTTTCTGCATGCTTTGTAGGCTTAGATTTTTCTCTCTGGGTATACCTTCAACATGTCCAAGTCTTCTTTATCTCCCTAGCATGACTGTTCTCTGCTGTCTTTGTGCTCCTCTGTGCCTTTTCACATTCTTATCCATACAGATAACTTCAGCTTCCTGCTTTTGTCTGAGTGAATTGCAAATATGTTTGTCCAGTCTTGATTCTCTCCCTGCAGCTTTCTCTAGATGTTTTACCATAAATCTAAGATGGATTAAAAGGGCCTTGAATCTCAATCATTTCTTCCTTCTAGGTTCATCCTGATGGCAGCTGAGGTTATCATTCATTCCATGCTCTTGTTTGACAAGTGACATGCAGAACTTTGTGTGAAAGTGTGGCTTGAAAGAATCTGTGTCATTTTGTTCACTTGTTTGTGTCCAGGAGTTTCATATTATTCTTCTTCTGCTACACAGGGTGTTCCTGTAATGGCAATACGAAACAAAATGATTTCTGAAGGGCTAAATCCAGATCTTCTCGAGTAAGTAACTTGTATCCCTCAGTAGGGCTGGAGTGCAACCATGTGTTTAAAAAGCTTGGCAAAAAGTGTGCTTAGAAAAGCTTGTTTGTGGTGACAATCTAAATTATCAGCCCTGAGGCAGGTTTTGAAGTCTTCCATGAAAGGTTTTGTTAGCATTTTATAGGTCTGAATGGGCCACCAGTACCAAAGGAGCAGCATTGCAAGACTTCACCATTCAGGCTTGAGAGGAGATAGAAGCACTTCCCAGAGTTGGTGGGATTCAAGGAAAAGAACCTAACAGTGACAAGGTTGGATTTGATCATGAGATTTAACAAGGCCAAGTGCTGGTCCTGCACTTTGGCCATACCTATCCCATGCAGCGCTCCAGGCTGGGGACAGAGTGGCTGGAGAGCAGCCAGGCAGAAAGGGACCTGGGAGTTTGGAGAGACAGGAAGCTGAACATGAGCCAGCAGTGTGCTCGGGTGGCCAAGAAGGCCAACGGCATCCTGGCCTGGATCAGGAGCAGTGTGGTCAGCAGGACCAGGGAGGTTATTCTGTCTCTGTACTCGGTGCTGGTGAGGCCACACCTTGAATCCTGTGCACAGTTCTGGGCCCCTCAGTTCAGGAGGGATATTGAGGTGCTGGAGCAGGTGCAGAGAAGAGCAACAAGGCTGGTGAAGGAACTTGAGCACAAGTCCCATAACAAGAGGCTGAGGGAGCTGGGGTTGTTTAGCCTGGAGAAGAGGAGGCTCAGGGGAGACCTTCTCACCCTCTACAACTCCCTGACAGGAGGTTGGACATAGGTGGGGGTTGGTCTCTTCTCCCAGGCAACCAGCAGTAGGACAAGAGGGCACAGACTCAAGCTCGGCCAAGGGAGGTTTAGGTTGGATTTTAGGAAGAGGTTTTTTCTGGAGAGAGTGATCAGGCACTGGAATGGGCTGCCCTGGGAGGTGGTGGATTCACCATCTCTGGAGGTTTTCAGGATGAGACTGGATGTGGCACTTAGTGCCATGGTCTCGTAACCAGGGTAGGGTTGGACTTGATGATCTTGGAGGTCTTTTCCAACCTGGTTGATTCTATGATTCTATGACAGTGTGTGTTTAGCAAATCCCATGTCAGGAACCGTTTTCACTGCACTGTTTAGAGTAGGAATTTTTTCCCAGGCATTTTCTTCCCACACTTCGGTAACAAAATGTCATTACTATAGAGCAATAAGAACAAACTCAGTTTTATTTTGCCAGATACATGAGGGACAGCACAGCTGTTTGCAGATTCCCTCTGCAGATGGAGGGTACAACTTGACTTCAGCTGTGACAACGTAAATTGAAGTCAGCAGTTTGAAATTTCAACTGTTGATTGAGTTAACCTGATGTGAAGATGACTAAGAATAGATCCTCATTTTCATAGCTACTTGTCTGGCCGCAAACATTAATTTTAGGCTTATTTTACTTTTGACATTTATTTTAGTTTTACTGTATTATTGCACAGAATTGCTTAAGCTGATGAATGTATTAACTTTCATTCTTACGTTTTAGCCACTAAATTGTTTGAAACACTTTTGCATCCTCTTCAGAAACTGTCAGGGTGTTAGAAAGTCCACTTGTCCTTTCCAGTGAAGTCTTTTTTCATTTTGTAAAGGAAATATATCATGTATTGAGTCTCTTTCTCCCAGCTACTTCCTGGTGTGTAAATAAACTCAGCTGATTTTTTACTAATTGAATGAGAAATCAGAACACAAGTAAGAACCTATACAAGTCTGAGACACGGTTGTCAAACCGAATTTTTCTATGTGTGTGTTAAATGTGTTGTATTTTTTACTCTACATTTCAAGTCCATACTTTTCTGTAAATGCTGCTGTTTCTTCATGTTTGGATGGATTTTTACAGTAGATAAAAAAAGAAAATAGGTTAAGATTTCAAAATCTGTTTTGGGGTTGTCTGGTTTGGGTTCAGGCAGAAATATTATTGCCTTGCATTGAGGCATATGGAACATGTTTGGGGTTGGATCTCAAAGTCCATCTTCAAAGATGCTGTGCAACAGTCAGATTTTCTTCAAGATGTTTTGAAAACTGGTTGAAGAAAGCTAACTATTTGGCAAGGTGCATGATGTGTAATATCTGAAGGCCTCAGCGGTGATCTTTCTTTTACCTTTCTTGCTTTCTTGACTCTATATTATAAACTTCTGGTTTTATATGCATCTTGCTGTTCACACCACATCTCTTCGGGTTTTGGGTTCCTTGGGCCTGCTCACTCAGTCCCAAGGAAAAGCAGGAAAATGCACATATTGCTTTGTGCTTGGTCACTTACTGCAGGTTCTCTCAGCCAGGGACTGAGTCTGAGGAGCTCTGGGCTGCAGAGATGCTATTTCTAATAGCATGGAGTTGTTTCTGCTCTTCTTTTGACCGTTCCACTTCTCTTACTGTTTATTTCTCAACCTTGTATAGAGTTTGGTAACTGCCTATTCTATCAAGCTCCCAATTTCACTGTTTTTTCAGTTTTGTTTCTTATCCTTCCTCTCTTGCCTGTCTTCAATTCCAGGAGAGTTAGTCCTGCTCTCACGAACTAAAGGAATTCGTTGCCATCTTCCTCCTCTTACTAGCTGAGAGTTTTTGCACTGGTCTCTCCAGATCACATGTCTTTGCACAGCTCTTCTGTTTTGTCGTTACCCTGGCAGCAAGGAATAATATTGCGAAGTGGTAGTTGCATGAGAAAGCAAAGGCTCCCTGAGCTGGTCTGAGAGGTGTGCAGGGGGGAGGGAGAGGCTCTTTTGTGGTTTTTTAACACCCTTTGCTTCTTTGCACCCAAAATGCTCAGAAAGACTTTAAAGTTACCTTAGGGGATTCCCAACAGAGAACAATAATACTACTAATAAACAACTAAAGTTGGAGAAGAAATTCTGTACCTCCAAAAGAAATAAGAACAGGATGAATTATACACTTGTCAGCTTAGGTAAAAGTGTAATATTTTATCCAAGAGATGTTACTACAGGAAGGCAGTTGCTCTGAGTAGCACCTTCCCCGAGTCTAATGTGTATATTTTGTGCCTTGTTTTCAGAGTTTACCAGGATCAGTCTTGCTCCTATGTCAAACTCTTAGGAGGGAGACTCCAGGGAACGCTAGCACCTTCAGTCAGTCAGTGCTACTTAGTCCTTAGATGGCCTTCCTTCTCTCCCCTTCATTTCCAGTAGACTCCCCAAGCAAGCAAATGTTTTGTCACAACGTTGAGATCCATCTTAAATGTTCTCTTTAAAACTAGAGGTCTGATCATTCGTAGTCAATAAAAATCCCATGGCTGCTCTTGCATGTCAAATTTAACCCAATGTTCTAGCCAAATTCCACTCTGAGTAATTCTTTTTTTGCTCCTCTAAATTATCCCTGCAGTTTTAGTTGGATACAACATGGTTCATTTCCTGTCTTATTTTTTTCATGTACTATTTACACTGCTTAATGGTGTACAGAATGTTCCTTTCAGCCCTAGAACCTCTGAAGATTGAAAAAAAATGGAATTAGTCATTATTGCCTGCTTTCAACTCTTTCTACAAGTGTTTGCCACTTCTTGGTGATCTGTCCTTGTTTCCCATAACCTCAAAGGTGTGTTCAGACTGGTGTCTGCAGTTTTGATGCCCAGTGAGTTATAGCTTCTAGTGTTTACCTTTGAGTTGGAAGTGAAGCAATACCACCAACGTGTGAGTTTGTGAACCATAAACAGTTAATGTGTTAAATGTTGTGGAAATAGAGTGCATGGGATTGCAGTGACAGGATAGCTGTGTTACATGCTAAGTTGCTTTTGTTCTCAGCTGGGTTTGCAGCGTGGGCTGTTTCTGTTGCCTGCAGGACCCCAGATGCCCCCGTGCCTGCCTGGGGAGATGATGGCAAAGCAGAAGACAGTTCTGATAGTGAATCTTCATTTAGTGACTGAAGAGACTGATTTCAGCCTTTGGAAGCCTCTGTCCAGTGCTAATGTGTTGGGACCTGTAGCAGACAATGGGTTTGTATGAGTGACATGATTTCTCTGACAGCATTGTCAAGAACTAAAATCCTCCGTGTCCTCTCCCAGAAGGTTTGACCAGGCAGTGTGTTTCAACCCTGCACCTTTCCACCATAGGAATGAATCATGAGATCCTTCCAATTTTTTATGCTGAATCATTTCAGGTTTGTTTCTGATTCTCCTGAAATTGCTTTGTAAAACTCTTAAGAATTCCACACCTCTAAACCTTCAGGTCTCTAAAACTGCAGTGAAGCAACAAGAATCACATGTAAGTCAACTGTCTTATGGTGGTTGCAGATCAGTGGTATTCTGTTTTGAGAGGAACTAAAGTACACATGAAAAATCCATTAAAAACCCAATTTGGATCTATTTTCAAAGCATATACTCCATTGGATGCCACGTTAGAGTCGGCATGAAGTTGTTAAAGAAACTCCTACTCTGTAGAGGAGTTGATTATGGAATTCAGGTTGCAATGCTGTAGAAAGCTACAAACATTGCAAGATTGGGTTGAAAATGACACTGTGAAAAAAGCGAGGGCCTGGCAGATTATGAATGGAATTAATTGCCACTGGTTCTCTGCTGCATGGGTCAGTCGAAAGCACTTTGTGATTGCTGTTGGGCTTGCTCAAAAGAAGCTGTGGCTGAACAGTTCACAAAGGATGAGAAATCACCTCCAAGTTGGTGCCTTTGCTGATCAGTTTGGCAAAGAAGCCAAAATTTGGTTTGGATAATGAGAAAAGTACCTTGCCACCTCCTGAGGAATGCGTCAGGGAGCGATGTAAGGAAACACACTTGGAGCCTGCCTGGCCCCAAAGAATTCCCTCCAAATTACTTCATCTGCTTCTAGAGTCAAAATGACATTTCACTAAAGAGTCTTCTTTAATAGAATTTGTTCCACATGGAATTCTTCCAGTGAATTTGAATTCCCCGGGTGGTTGTGACTGTACCAGAATGTTTTGTGCCACACAGTCATGACCTTTCTGGTGTTTCACATTCTTCCTGAGACCAAAAAAAAAGACTAAAATTGAAGCTCTTAAGGACTTGTAAGCCTTTATGACCGAGTCAATACCTTCTCTCATAGTTATTTGTGCCACTTCAGTAGGTTAACTGGTTTTTCTTCTCTGACTTAAGCACTTGAGCCCATTTGAGCCTAGCAGAGATACTTGTGCTCTCATAGCCTGTAAACCAGAGTGATGCCTGAATCCCTAGGGAAGCATCTATGCATTAGAGAATGCCTAATGGTATTTCAGTGATGGGACAATTATCTTTGAACACTTAAACAAAATTATTCAGTAGTTAACATTTGGTAAAACTCAACAAGTATTAACATATTAGCAATAAGTATTTCAAGAGTAAATGCTATAATGTTATTTCAGAAACTACATATTGAAACACTGGTGATGTTTTAAAACCTCTGTTTGAAAACTCATTGAAGCACTCTGTAAAATTAAAGCTATACTTTGTAAACCAAAGTTGTGGTTCTGTTTTATTCCTGTACATTGTTCTAAACAAGATCATGAAAACTCTTCTGAAGTCTCTGCAGTTGGGACAGATGCTGACACAAGGGGCTGTTAAGCAGGGAAAGGTTGCTTTGAGACTGAATGATGTCAGCTCTGCTAGTCCTCCTTGATCTACAGCAGTTTTCTAGTGAGATGGTGCTAACCTAGAAGGCTGGAAAGTCCTTAACCACAAACTAAATACTATAAGCAGAGAATATTCCAACTTGCTCATTATTTGCCATCTGTTTTAGGATAGTAGATGGAGGGAATGTTTCAACTTGGCTGCACAGTAATCAGATAGATGTGATACTTTCAAGGGAAGAAGTCTATTTTTAAGAGACGTTTATTTTTATAAAGTTTCCAATAGCAAAGACCTTTTGAAAGTTCTTTATAGATACATTGAGGTGTCAGGAACACACAGTTTATATGCCCAAATTTTGCATGGATTTAAGCTTATCATCTGGGGCAGTAGTACAATTTGCTGGCATAGAAACTGGTGCAGCTTGTTGCTGGAACAACTGTTGGATGCATCTGCTAATATCAGTTATGTACAGTAAAGTATTTATTCACTGTTTAAATAATTTTTTTGTTAGCCCATCCCCATATTCCTCATCGTGCAGGTGAAGGGGACTGCAGGTGTCAAGAGGCACTTTAATGCATGTTGGTATCCTTTGACTAGATGCATGTCTGTATTTATGTAAGTGAAACCTCAAAAAGCTGTCAAGGGCAAACCCAACATCTGGACATGATAATAACTTCATAGTGTAGTCCTGATTTAGCACTTGTAATCATTAATCTGTTCCCTCACAACTCTTCTGTTCAGCTACATTTGAAAAGAAAATTGAAGGTTCTTTTTCCAAGCTGTGTCTCTTCCTCTCTCTTGTTTTTCTTTCCAGTGGGTGCTATTTACACCAGTGAGAAAGTGTATAGTTTGACATTCTGTGAAAAAAGCAATTGTAACAAACTATAGCTGTACTTGGAAAAAGAGAACATCACTAAGATCAGCACTTTGGGTTTATGTGATCAGGTCCATTTTGCCTTCCATGGTCTAACGTAGCAAGAAACTCCAGTTTATCACAGGCTTAATCTTTCTGGGAATCCAGTTTTCACTCTGGAAAGCTGATAGCGGGTAACAGTGTTACAGTGGATTTGTCTGCAGAACAGAATGTGTATTTCCTTCCTCCACAGACAGTCTTGTCGTCCTGTTGTCTGAGATGCCTGCGGGTCAATGCCTGCACTCGAGTCCAAAGTGTTACCCTCCTGATGCTTCATGTGGTGGTGTCTCCATTCAGGCCACTTGGGAAGCACAACAGGAACTGCCACTTTAGCTGGGGCTTGTGACTTGCTTCATTGTGCAGTTTTGTCACTGGTAAAAATCAGTCCTGAATGCTTTAAGGGAAGCTGTGAGGAGCACCACAGTGTTCCAGCAGCTCCTGCCACCAAGGTTTGACTCCAGCTGTGAGCAGAGATTGATGTTCAGTGCTTAACTGAAGTTTGTTAGTGCTTCCATAAAGATTTGCATTAGCTGGGGAAGCTGTGGATATTCCTGCCTTGTGCTCGACTGTCTAACTTTGCTAACATAATGTTGGTTTAAGGGAGTTCCATGGACTAGCTCCTTCTGAGGGAATCTAAGCAGAAAATTAAAATAATACACCCCATGCCACAGAGAAAATGAGGGACAGGAACAAGCTTAGCACAGGATGTTTCTCTACACATACTCATTTTGAAGCAAAAGGTTTAAATGGCCACAAATTAAAATGCAGGTCATTGGGCAAGGACAAGATGCAGCATGAAGCACTCAGTTTTATTTGGATTTTTAAAGGAAAGTTAAGGCAGTGTCTTGACCTTAAACTGGTGGATTGTTTGCTCATTCAGTGTATTTCCCATTTTCACGTTAATGGGTGGAAAGGAAACTCCTGAATAAACTTTGCAGACAGTTGGTTTTCGCCACTTCAGACTCCAAAACTGGTGCCTTCTGCATGAAGGAGTGAAATGGTAACTAATAGTATTCTCTTCTTTACGTTATATACTTTGTGCCTCTCAAGATCTTGTAAGTTCTAGTATGTGTACACTAGAAATCCCTTCTTGGGCTTCTTTGCTGCCTTCTGTGCTGATCTGTGGAAGCAGGAGTTGTAGTAAAGTGGGTGCTAGGCTTGGGAGCAATCCTTTATGGAAAGAGCATGGATCTGAGTGCTGAAAGGGACAGGGCAGCGCAAAGGGATCTGAGAGTAACTTTTAGCAATTATATGAACAGTTCTTTCTGTAGGTGATTACCATCAGCTGTTTAATAAACCTTATCCTCTTAAGTCACTTGTAGTGGTAAGAACTTGAGTACACTTGAATTAACCTGCTGTGAAGAACTGGACAGTAGGAAAAAAACTTGTAAGGCTCGTTTTAAATGATAACTCTCCTAAGAATTATGATTATCTTTTTTGCTTTCAAGCAAATGATCTCTACAGTTCAGTTGACTACACATCACTGGCAGATTCCACAGTCCTGGTGTGATTTCTTGTGCCTATTTTCAAGAGCATGGGGAATCCTTCCCCAGTGAGATCTAAACTCTTCGTGATGAACATCTTGCAGTGTTGATTTCCCTTTACGCCTTCCCAACAGCTCTTTGACAAGGAATACTGTGGCGTGCTGAGATGATCCTTTGATCTTCTTAATCCAGTTCACCTACTTCTAAAGTAGATCCAAAGTAGGGAGGAGAATTAGCAGAGAAAATTAGTTGTCTTTTTCTCAGTTGTTTCAGTATTTGCTTTTTCCTCAGGGGACAGCCAGTTTCTTTTGTAAAAATGGTTTAGGTGGAAAGTGGTTTGTGATGCCTCATAATCCTGTGTTTGGTGTGGTTTAGGGAGCTAATGTCAAATTTTGCCTGCCTGCACAGCAGCATATGTCAAGAAGGCAACCTCAAAACATCTGAATACACTTAAAATATCATGGATGGGGGTTGATTATGAATATTTTTCTTACTGTAACTTTCCTTGCCTCTGACTTGGCTTCTGTGTCTGCCTCCTCTTCTGTTGTACAGTTGAGGAGGCTTTGTTACTGTTCTTCCAGCCTCCTGGCATCCTAAAAACATTGTTGTGTTGACCATATTTAAAACCAATCTCTCTTTTGAAGTCTTCCATTTTATAGGATGTTGATGGTTTCTGTATGTTTTAATTGTGGGAAGTGTTTCAAACCAATTTGTTATGGAAAAACCGTCACTTTGTACATGTGTCTGTCCTTGGTTTCCCTCAGCTTTCAGAACCTGTTGGCTAGTTTCAGTCACATTTGGCTCAGGGGGAGAGGAAGACATCTCAAAGGGTCCCTATGGATTTGATGGAAATAAATCACTAAGTGGCAAAGAGAGATAGTGTTACATCATTTGAGCTGAAACCTTCTCAGACCCCAAGAGGTCCGTGCCAGAAAGAGGTGTTACCCAGCGCC